ATTCCTTTAGTTTCGTTTATAAGTAGTTTTTCGAAACTACCGATAGATCGTATATATGAGATACATCCACCCTGGAATTGAAGTTCAATTTTGCCATAAGTATGAGTAGACCTCACTTTTCAATTTCCCATAGTCTTGCTCTCACAAAAGATATTCTTATTCATGACAGACTGCAATTTTGATCTCGTCTAGGCCTCCTCAGCACCCCCAGCTAAACCCGAACCTGGGTCGTGGTAGCGCAGCGTGTAAGATCGACACCTTAATAACTACGTTGCATTCCCACGAACGACCTTTGGTCACATGGCAGATGCGAATTTTAAAGTCAGTAAATTTCTCATATCACATTCTGTGGTGGGATTATCGATGAAGCAGGCTTTTGAGATTACTGGTAAATCATATGTATGAGATGTATTCACCCTGTTTAGTTTAGGCTAACAAGAGTAAGCAAGGCTATATGAAATTCAATAAGGGTTATGAGGCCTACTCATATCATTGTGGGATGATTCAACTACCACTACCCACATCACCTTAAATAAAATAGAGTTAATATATCTCATATGTCTATAAGTAGGTGTTGAGGTTACTAGTAGATAAGATGAGATTTATCCAACTCATTTCGCTTAAGGCGATGGAGAAATAGTATTTGAATTTTCCCACAATTGCAATAAGTAGGCCTTATGATTCCTTAGAATTTCATATAGCCTTGCTTCACAAAATGTATTCTAATCCAGAGTGAATGCCCATGAATTGGGTGACAATCTTACATACTTACAGAAATGTGAAGTGGCCGTGGATGACATGTAGTGGTTGTAGATGACGTGTGAAGTGGATGCCCCATTAAGTAGACAAAGCAAGGCTATAAGCAGCCAACCACCTTTTTTGCCTTCGAGCTTGGCGAATTATCGTAAAACATGATGTTCTGCTCTGACGATGTCCGTCAAATGACGGACGAAAACTCAGAAGATATTAGAGTCGCGGTGCAATGCGGCGAGGACTTATTCGCAAAAATCTAGTCACAGCTCCAAGGTAAAGATGGATTTTTAAAATCTAGTCCCGGATTATTCTATAAAGAAATGTGAATAATTTGATTGACAAGGGTAGATTACAGGCGTAATAAACAGGTCTGCAGAGCAAGAATGAATCTTTGTGTTGGAAAAATATAAAATGTAATCAGTTTAAGAAAATTAGTCTAAAAGTCCCCGAGATACGTAGGCGAGGTATCTGATTAGGTAGTCATTTGTTTAAAAAGGCGACGGTATGTGATTATTTAATGAACAAATAGTTATATAGCAAGAATTCATTTTAGTCCAAAATGCAGTAAGAAATGTATAGGCTTTCTAAGTGCCTAAGGAAGTATCACATATGAGCCTGATAAAAAGGCCTAAATCAAAGTAATATAAACTATATCATTAAGTTCATGTGAGTCGTGGGACTATATTTTATGAAATTTGATGGTAGCATAAAGCATTTTCTTCAATCCAACTTTAGCAACATAACCATCAGGCGTTAAACAAATAGCTATAATGGATTTGATTAAGATTTTGAATACTATACGTACATACTATCCGTAACTAGAATTGCTTTCTATTTAAAGAGTTTAATCATAGTCTCCTTCATTTGTATGGTGCTGATTTGACCTCGTTTTCGTAACTTGTTCGAGATAAAAAGGATATTTCGTGGAATACACCAATTGCTGTATCTTTTGTCATGATATTCATGATAATATCCAGCAACGTTGGTACATACTTAGACATTTCACCTGCCGCAACAGTGAGAGCTGCTATTCTAGGGACCTAGTTACAATTCGTCAGTGATAAATATAATTACCTTGATTAATTTTCTGCTAAACCATTATGGCATCTTCTCTTCCCCTATTCTAGCTTATAGCGCCGTATACTGATCCTTCAACCCCAATTCATATGGGAAATTACATATCTATACCTCTCTGCCTTCGTTCCGATGTCACCTAAGTGTATCCCCTGAATCGCCCGCTTAGATGAAGTTGGCGAGGCTTTTATGGTCAAATGAGCATTTTAATTTAACTATCCACTCCACCCAATGTATCAGCTGTTATAGGCTGTACTTTAAAATTCCTGTCTTATCTAAATGACCGTCTATAAGCCATTAATTCAGAGGGCCGTTTATGTTATATTCAAGGATTTATTCACGACTGGCTCCAGAAATTTGATCGAACATATGAGAAAGCCTTAGCGAGGACTGCTTTCAAAATAGTTATTCTCCTACCTACATCCCTTTTCAAGTCCCTTAGGCTTCAGAAATTCTGTCCCACTTATCCTCTTACAAAATTCCACCCCATTCTCTCATATCCTCTGGTGCCCTGTCTGGCATGATTTTTGACCGATAGTGTTGACAAATACAGCTCAAATTGGCAACTTATAGATCAAGTTAAGCACACTCCTCTTTCTACTTCACGTATATATGTGTGTCATCAGTTAGTACAAAGGAGGAAATTAGACAAATAGATTTGAAATGGAGATGGCGATGCTAACTTCAGTATTTAAATCTGTCTCGTCAGAAGACTTGTAGTAGATATTGATGACCTCAGCCAGAATGTCTTCTAGTCCTTTCTTCAGGATTGTATTGAAATCACCGCTTTACAGGAAACTTCTAGAAGACATTCTAATAGATGTCACCAATATCTCAGCCAAGTCTCATGAAGAGACAAAACGGGAAACGAAGATGGAAATAATCCCAAAACGTGAACATATTTGTGAGGATACGCAAGATCTTAGGAATAAATAAATAATTGGTCCTTCAGGCAAAGGAGGAGCGGCAGTGAAAATGGACAGGGAACAGTAAGGATAGAGAAAGAAAAAGCTCAAAAACTACGGCCAATAATAGGAAAATGAAATATTCAGATGACCAAAAAGGAAAAAACGGCATTCTTCACAAGAAATGAATTAGCATACGAATAAAGAAACATCAAAGGTTCTATAGGAGAATGGATACCGAAATATCAGAACTAGCGGAAAACAACGCACAGACTGGACACGAGATTAATGGGAAGGCAACAAAAAAAAGGGCCTCATAGTGAAAATACAAGGAAAGAGAAGACACGAGAGGCCATTGACATCTTTGGGGAAAGAAATTTAATGAACAGGAGATTGGAAGAAGGCAGAATTAACGATAATTTTGCCTATTGCCTAAGTAAGCAGGGAGAAAACAAGGATACGACAAGACAAGTAAAAAGGAGACGCTTGGATCAAGGATATATTGTTAACCAGAGGAAAAGGGATTGTAAGGAAGAAGTGGGCGAGAAATTTCCGTAGTCAAGTAGAGACGCTCTCAGTGAATGTAGTCTGCTCGAAGCAACAATTACAACTTTGGGGGCCTGGCGATCATGTGAATAGGGAGATGGATAATACAAGACTCATATAAATTCGGCAGTATGGCTAAATTGAGTGGAAATCTACTCGAACTGCAGCAGGCGACCAGGGATAGAAGCGCACAGTTTACTCATGGTGCACGGGGTTAATCAAGCAGACGACTCATGAAGGCAATGCTTAATATCTGCAAGCATAGTAATCAGAGCCTAGGCTCTGTAGGTAAGGCGATTTTGCTACTGAAGGCTTGAGAAATAGCGCCGGGAGTGAAACGCACATTAGGGCTGGAATCGAGTGAAATCGGTCAACAAGAGAGATAAGAAACGGATCTACGGGCCCATAAGGGAGATCCAAGTTGGATCAGCAAATCAAGGAGGGGGGGCAAGGCAGACGGCAGGTATTATGACGCCACGCTAAACTCGTTAAAAAGGGACACAACTCTGGAGTTCTAATTAGGCGTGAGTGAGACAAGAGGGTAAGGAGTATATATATTGGCCAAAACAGAAAGAGCACAACTTTTTCGGTAGAATGTTGGTCAAGGGATCGAATTCACTTGTCCCTTTGACAAGTTGTAGCTTGGTGCTGAGAATGGCAAGATTCACTGATGATGCCGACTACAATGCCGGCGGATGGTCTGAGAATGTACCAAGTCCATGGTCCGAATTATGATAACTACTATGCAGAGGACTTTGGACAAGGTGCGCTCAACTAAGTCCCCCTGACAACAAGAACAAGTTGCGAAAACGAGGTCAACCCACTTCCATAAATTGAAAGGAGATTGTGACGATACAGAGAGCCCACCATCTTGGTCTTCATATCTTTGATTAAACTACGGTAGCAATATGGCCAGATAATGCTCTGAATACAGCCGGACAAAGAAGATAATCGTAAGTTAATCTTTCCACCTGACATTTTTAAAATGTTGCAAACGTTATGGTATCACTCTTGATTTCTGTGACCTCAAAAGACCCTACCATTCAGTAAGGTTAATGAGCTTCTCCATCAGGCCTTTATTCACAAGTTAAGTGAAACTTATATGGAGAGGAATAAGCTATTTAAGTTCAAAAACTACATAGCATGACCGACAGGAAATCACGTAGGATATCTGACTCAATAACAAAATGACACGACAGTAAATTTCGTAGATTTGGGATTATAAGACAACCGAAGTTAAAGCCAATGCTCCCAGTTGATGTGGTTGCCGAGGTGACAACACCTATTGATCAGCACGACGATAGGAAGAAAGTGGCGAATTTATCCTCATTTCCTCTTGAACCCGAAACCACCACGATCTTGAAAAAAAGACTCAACTCTTCACTTCAAGATTATATAATCTTTCTAGGAGACATCCTGGTGGAGGTTATCAATATCTCCGAAAAGTTCCCTAAGGGGAAAAAACGGGAAGTGAGGATGAAACTAATTCCAAAGATCTTGACACATCAAGAACCAACGCACAGGAACAGAGTTTCCAGGATACGCAAGATCCTGGAAACAATTAGTCCTTCCGACGGATAAAGGAGGAGCGATAAAAAATAATGAAAAAAACAAGAGAGAATGAAATATATTCTACAAGGGAGAACTGCACATATTATACTAAAGAAGGACCCAACTATGAAGATCAATGGAATCTTAAGTGACACTCTGAAAGGAACGGGGAAATTTACGTATGGATAAAAAATTCAATCATAAAAAAGGATGCACGACCACCCATAGTCTACGGATTGCCGAGGATACACAAAGAAGGCGAACCACTAAGACTGATATTCAGCAACTATGACTACAATGCCGGCGAAGCGTTAGAGAATGTACCAAGTCCACGGCCTGATGTTGGGAATTATGATAACTACTATGGCAGATGACTTCGGACAAGATGAATTCGACTAAGTCGCCCAAACAACAAGACCAAGTTTAGAAAACGAAGTCATATAAATCGAAAGGAGGCTGCGACCATACCGATGGCCACGCCATCTTAGTCTTTATATCTTAAATTCACTTTTTCAAGGTAACGAAGGACTGGTAATTGAATTTTCCCCCATTTCCATTGGATTTCACATAGTCCTTATTCCTAAAAGGTATTCTCATCCAGA